GGCAACGCGCACGAGCACAAAGGCTTCTGTAAAGTACACCCTGTATCTGAGCCCCCCCGCCCCGTTGAAGTTGATAGTGATGGCAATTTTGCATGTTCCCACGGCGACGACATGTTAGGACGCTTTGATTCTTCTCGACCTACAGCCTGTTATGAGGATGAACCTGTGGAGGTTGCACCAGAGCCGGTAACAACAGAGTCTTCTTCGACTGTGAGCAGCGCTGTTGTCACCACTGCCGTCTCCGTTGCTGCCGGCGCCCGACCCAAACCCCTGACCCCCTCGACCAGTCAAGTCAGGATCGGTATGCGCTCGCTTCGTCTTCTTACCAATTAAATCCTCCCAGTTGGGATGGCACTGTGTTGTGTTGGTCGACTTAAATCGTCTGTGCTTTTGAGCTGTTTGTTGCTTCACTGCCTGTATGTACGCCTTACGTCCTTATTTTGTTTTTGTCCGCATCCCCTTCTCCCAAGGCGTAGGATCCGTTGCGGCTAGAAAACCCAAAAGTAGGAAGTTTCCTTGAATTTACTTTTTGTTTGTATCTTCTCTCTTGAATTGTTTTGGTTACGACCGGTGTTTCCAAATGCTCTTGATTTGTTCCTTTTTGAAAACCTTGAACAGATGCGCGCAAACAAACCCAACGTCTGCATGGCCACTCGTGAGCACATGCTTATTTTATTCGAGATGATATTACCACCAAAGGCACTGGAGACTGGGATAATCAGTCTTGGCCCATTTAGTCATATACCGATGCGCTAAGTGGCGATGTCCGCATTCCGACTTGAAAGGTAGCCTAATCGGGGAACGACACATTCAGGTTAGGTGAAGATCGCATGCGCAGGAAGCGTCGCGATCTCCTCTATTGTGAGCCCAAGTGGTACTGTACTGCCCTCTCGAAGACGCTCTTCCTCCGCTACTAGCTTTTGTACCACCTATCTGCAACGTCGGCTAAACCGCCAGAAATGGCAGTAGGAATACGAATCGAGCCGGCGCTACACTCTAATTCGAAACTCCACTTACCCATACAAGTAGGATAGGGAATCTCAGCTATGTCTAGAGATAGAGGAGTTTTGTGTGAGCTTCCGGGCACTTTCTGGAGTCCACCGTCAGAGATAAAAGCGTCAACGGAAAACGAGCAACAGTTATAGGGGGGGGGTCAATCAACTACCAGTGCCGTCAGTGTGGAGATGCCTGCGCAGGGCGATGTATACCGGAGCCAGATCAATAAATCGATTGACTGAGTTCGATCTGGCGCCGGTATACATCGCCCTGGGCAGGCATTATTCGGACTGACGGTACTGGTGGTTGATTAGCTCCTTCCCCCCTATAACTGTCCCTTGTTTTTTGTTGACCATTTTATCTCTGACGATGGACTGCAGTAAGAGCCCGAAAGTTCAGATAAATAGTCGTGGTTTAGCTAACAACATCGACTATAACAGCAGACGTTTCTTC